AAAATAACAAGAAATTCAAAATTTGTAGTGCAAAGATGTAGGGAGCATGGTAGAATTATTATTATTATTATTAAAAATGTTTAACTATGAAATTTAAAATTGTTTATTTGGATGTCTATCTTATCAACAACTTTATAAATTAAGAATCTTTATTCTCTTTATCACTATCTTATCCTTAGTTGTGTTAAGAACACTATATAAGAGTGTAGCATCTTTTTTTTTGTTTCAAATTATAATTCCTTCTTTCTCTTCTACTCTTCACTCTTCACCATAACATACTTTCTGTTTCTTTAGGGTAAACATGTTTGATGGATTGTTGAATCCCAAATTATATATAAAGTATTAATAATGCTTTCATCTTTCTCTTCTTTCCTTTCCTTTATCTTCTTTTAATTTTATGGATTTCTTTTTATTTTTCAGAGACGATACATAATAAAAGGAGCAAGGTGGCGTAGAAATTTTTAAAGAAAGACATCGTCGATCTTCTTTAGAATGATGTTGATTCAATGTATAAGAAAGAGTAAATTTTCCTAATCTCAAGATTTGCTCAAAGAAATGTAAAGAAATATGTTTTTTTCTTATAAAAAAAATGAAAACTGTCAAAATTGAATTCAAATATTTAATGAAGTCTAGACATTGATTCGCATGATGCAGTATAAAAAAAGAAATTATTTAAATTAAAAATATATTATTTTATTAGTTAATAATATAAGTTTGTTATTGATTTTTTTAAACAAATAAATTTATTATTGTTTGTAAAGAAAAAATATTATTACAAGTATTTTTTGTATTTATATTTATATAAATTTATATAAATAATCTATCATTAATTCCTTTAAAATTTATTTAAAAATGAATATTAAAATATTTGTACATTAATATTAAAATTATAAAATATAAATAATAATAATAAGATTAAATGAGTAAGAAAAATAACAAATCTATATTTATTATTTAAAGTAAAAAAAATGCTTATGTTAGTCATTTTAATTTATGTGTGACAAAAAATAGATCAATTTCATGATAGATTTTTTAATATCCACTTCTCGTAGTTTGTGGTATAATCTAAATTAGAAAAAAGTTCATTGTTCTTGAAGTGAATTTATTTGTATATATATCCATATTCATGTAATTCAGGGTAAGACTAAATGAGTTTATTTAAAGCAATTTTTTTCTTTAATATTTTATATGTATATATATATATATATATTAACGTCTTTATCGATTATCATTATGCATTGGAAATTAACCTTTTTTTTATCATTTGTAAATCAAATTTAAAGATGTATTATATGTTATCGTATTTTAGCTACATATGCAAAATGTGGTAATACAAATTTATTTAAAATTTTAAAATATTTTGTTTGACTATTTCACTAAAATAATAGATTATTATATACCTTATATTTTTTTTAATATTTATTAAAAAGGTATAGTTTAACCATATTTTAAAATGAAATGGATAAAATGAGAGAAAAAAAATCATATAAATTAAATACTTAAAAAGACTGAAATACTGTATTATAATTTTAAATAAAATGTTTTTTAAAATTATTGTATTAATTTGTAATATATTAATAATAATTCGAATGAAATCTTTCAGAATTTAATTTTAACTTATTAGCTTTTATTTTCATTCTTTATTTTTTTATAGATTCAAATTAAAAAATATAAGAGTCAGGTGAATAAATCTTTTAAAGAAATTTATAGCTAAATGTAATATATCCAAATAAATATTTAATAAATATTTATTATGACTAAATTATCAAACAGATTATTTCAATATTTGATTAAATTATTAAATTAATAACAAAAATATACATATATTCATTATTTTCAAATATGTAACTCCTTATATACAAATCTAATTGTTGAGAGATTTGTCAAAAAAAAATTATTTATTGTTGTTCAAAATTAATATTAGTAAAAAAATTTAAAATTTGTTTGAATGGATGTCTATCTTATCAATAGCTTTATAAATCAAGAATCTCTATCTTACTCAGAGTTGTGAAAAAAAAACTATATAAAAATGTCATTCAGCACCTTTAGTCGTTAGTAATTCGCTCTTTCTCTTCTAATCTTCACTCTTCACTATTCTTTCCTCTCCTTTATCCCCTTTTGATTTTATGGACTTATTTATTTTTCAAGGGCAATGCAGAATAAAAGGAAAGAGGTGGTAAATAAATCTCTGAAGAAAGACATCACCAAGTTTTGTATAAATTTCTAAAGAAAGACATCACCAAGTGCTCTAGAATAATGTTAATTCAATGCATATGAAATGGGTAAATTTTCTTAATTCTAAGATTTTCTCAAAAAATGCAAAGAAGTATATTTTTTTATATATCAAAAAAATCAAAATACTCAAGATTAAATTCAAATATTTAATAATAAAGATTGTGTAATCAACACACTAAATGTTCATTTTTCAAGTGAGTAATTATATATTAATAGTCAAGGTTTAATTATCACACATTATATTTTTAGGGTTTAGGGTTTTTATAAAAATAATGTTTTTATATTCTTATAATTAATAATAATTGCATAATATTTTTATATTTAATTTTATTTTTATAACGAACACTTTAATTAATTTTAGCCTCTTAATTATCAATTAATATGATTAATTACTTAATGCAAATGTAACTATATTATATATTTTATCACAATTATTAGCTATAAATTTAAATTCTTATAAGTTGAAACAACCTTAAGGCCTTCTTGTCGAGCAAAATATATCAATGCTCTTCTAGTTACCCAATTCTAATTCATATATTTTTTTAAACAAATACTTAACTGTTTAGATAACAACCTAATCAATGATCAGTAAAACTCACTTCATGTAAATAAGGCTGCAAGTTATCTTCATTTCTTTTGAAATAGTATCTTGCCTCAACTTTAAGGTAATAAACCTAATATATATACTCATACATGATATAAATTACCATGTGTGAGTATACGTATTAGGTTTATTGTCAAAAAGTTTAGACAAGATCCCACTTTGAAAGAAATGAAGGTCCAACTGGTACATGATTTAGCACAAGATTTCTCTATGAAATGGAATAATAAGAGACTTTACTCACCGTGTTAGTTATATGAACTGAATTTTACTTATCATTGATTAATTTATTATCTAAACAATCAAATATTTGTTTCAACATAAATATTATATTTGGATAATCACAAGTGCATTCCTTTTCGCGAGTTAAGTCTTTGCTTGTCTCGTTCTATAGAGAACTCTTGCGCTAAATTATGTATGAGTTGAATCTTCATTTCTTTTGAAATAGTATCTTGCCTTAACTTTAAGGTAATAAACCTAATATATATACTTATACATGATATAAATTACCATGTGTGAGTATATGTATTAGGTTTATTGTCAAAAAGTTTAGACAAGATCCCACTTTGAAAGAAATGAATGTCCAACTGGTACATGATTTAGCACAAAATTTCTCTATGAAATGGAATAATAAGAGACTTTACTCACCGTCTTAGTTATATGAACTGAGTTTTACTTATCATTGATTAATTTATTATCTAAACAATCAAATATTTGTTTCAACATAAATATTATATTTGGATAATCACAAGTGCATTCCTTTTCGCGAGTTAAGTCTTTGCTTGTCTCGTTCTATAGAGAACTCTTGCGCTAAATTATGTATGAGTTGAATCTTCATTTCTTTTGAAATAGTATCTTGCCTTAACTTTAAGGTAATAAACCTAATATATATACTTATACATGATATAAATTACCATGTGTGAGTATATGTATTAGGTTTATTGTCAAAAAGTTTAGACAAGATCCCACTTTGAAAGAAATGAATGTCCAACTGGTACATGATTTAGCACAAAATTTCTCAAAGAAATGAAGGTCCAACTGGTACATGATTTAGCACAAAATTTCTCTATAAAATAGAATAATAAGAGACTTTACTCACCGTCTTAGTTATATGAACTGAGTTTTACTTATCATTGATTAATTTATTATTTAAACAATCAAATATTTGTTTCAACATAAATATTATATTTGGATAATCACAAGTGCATTCCTTTTCACACGTGTCAAGTCTAAAGAATTTAAATTTAAAAATATGACTAATAATCCTAATGCATATACAGTAAATAATAACATATCACAATATGCTGCTACACAAGGCAAGATGTAGTGCACTAGGAGCCTTTAGAGATAATTTTACTCATGAAACCAATTGAAACGAGAATGAATAGCTTAAGATGGTATGATGCATTTTCGATTCTTTTGATCAAATTATAATTTCTCTCAAGAAGAAGCATTTAGCATGCTGAACCATGACTGTTACGTTTCTTTTTAATAATTGCATCATGTTTCTTGAATCAGCTAACTAATTAACCACTTCCTTAAGCAAATATTCTCGTGATTAAACCAAAGAAAACCTGAATAGGATTTGAGACTACGTCTCTTTCCATGTGAGCACAATTGAGAAGGAAAAATTACCTTTCCATACTCAATGTTGATGAGGAAGAAAGAATATGGGATACAGAAATATATATAAAGGTTTGTGGAATGTGGTGGTTTGGAGAAAGAGTGCAGAGTGAATATTACTACTTTTAATTTGACGGTTAAGCAACTAACAGTTGCAGTATAAACGTGGGAATATACATGCTAGATTTCTAATGCGTTTATACGCTTCTGTCTAATCAAGAGCCACTTTAAATTGTTCTGAGTCTGGTAGTCTTAATTAATATCCTATAGCAAGGTACTTGAATGAAAATGCTTCCAAAACAATCAAGAGATATAACCAACTATCTGCCTGCATCCAATTATTAGTGACCAGTAGGTGTTATTAATTGTTATTACTTCTTATATTTGTTCAAGAATATTCGGTTACTCTGAGCCGCTGTTTACTTCATAGCTAAACACATCAGTCTTTGTTGTCATAATGCCTTTATTGACATATTCTGGAGACTTATAATCACTGAAATAATCAGCAAAGAAATAATTTTACTGTATAACTAAATGAAAGTGGGGAAATTGTGCTGATTTGTACCTACTATATTCCAACAATTCTTTTAATCTTCACTTCTACTACTTCCGAAACTAATATTACTGCCATGCCAAAATAACTACTTTTTGGGTTCATTTCATAATCAAATATGTTGAAAAGTGATGGAGATAAATCAACCCATGAGTTATACCTTGAATGATGTCGAATCTTTTCTCTCAGACTATTGCTTCGCTTCCTTTAGACTTTGTTTCAGAGTAAGCATGAATTACCAAGCCTCGGAAGAAACAAAGGATAAACCAAGTTAAAAAATAAACAATTACGAGATTATCTTGCTCATGAAGGTTACATACCAAAGAGATGAAAGTCTAAACTATTGTTGGGCATTTACTCATAGACTAATATATTTTCTTCATTTTGTATGCAGAGCCCCAAAAGCCTTACAAGATTAGTATGCTGAAGTTTTGCTACAAGTTCGGCCTCATTTTTGAACTCCACCAACTCTTGCCCCGATCTACTAGAAAGTCTCTTTATTGCTATTTCTTCCATCAGGAAGTTCCCCCTGAAATTGTACTCTCATTAGCTTTCACCATATCTTAAATCTTCTCAATTTATGTCTGCATAAACTTTACCTTATAAACTGGTCCAAAGCCATCCAGTCCTAACTTGTTTGCATATGAAATGTTGTTTGGTGCACAGCAGTAATGATTGTAAAGTTTAATATCTGCATTACATAATTGGCCTTGGCACCTTTCCTTCGTCTTTTTTGTTTTGTGATATACGGTGCAAGGTACAGTACTGGCTCCAGTTTCCAGTAGTAGCTCCTTCTGCTTCTTTTTTTCTGCCAGCTAGTTGTCTCAGACAAAAAGACGATATTTGAAACAAATCTTCAACAAGTTTTATCCAGATGATGCTGTAAAAGTAGCAGAATATAAGTATAAAAATAATTACTCCTATCACATTGAGCCATATCCATCATCTGCTTTCTACATTCAAGGTAACAATGCTGAAATGAAAAGGAAGAAAAAAAGTGTGCAGAGGTTTAAAAAGAGTAAATCACCATTTCCACTCCTTAAGTTTTTTTTTTCTTTTTTTCTTTTTACTAATATCACATTATTGCCTCACCAAAGGTCCCTCAATGATTCTTCGTCAGTTTCATCCTCACAAGTCACTCAAATGCACACTTGGCATTTTAAAATTTCACTATGCACCCATATCAGTTGCCCTCTTGTCACACTCTCAAGTCTCACACACATCGAAGCTAGCCTTTATATTTGCAAAATTTCCCAAATTCCCCCCCATCCCTGCTCCTAAAATTAGCACGCCACTCTCGTCATTGTACATAAACATGTTAACAATAGAGGTTCATACGCATATGGGTTGTGGTGTTGACGCTTGACAGAAACAGAAAATGCCCACATGCATAATTTTCTTGCAACAGCTTGGTTTTGAACTACTTCTTGTTTGGTTTCCTTTAAGTACAAGCCAATTCATTGAGTGTAATGTTATTTTCACTTAAATTTTTCGCATCAGTTTTTACAAGGAAAAAGATAGCAAAAGAGAGAAAAGTGCGGGGAAAGAAGGATGATGTGATACAGATAAAGAGAAAAAAGATGATGTGAAAAAGTATAGTGAAATTCTGTATAAAATAAAAACATTATTCAATCAGTCATTATTATTTAAAAATCACTGTTTTATTCTAGAGTGTCATTGTCTGATTTTTCTAGTAATTAACTAATTAACTCTTCATGTAAAAGGGTTAGCTAGTTAGTTAGGACTCTGTTTTGGTCAGTTAAACCTGGTCTTTTTTTCCTTGATTTTGGTCTTTCAAATATTTGACGAGTTCTACTCTTCTTTGATATAGGAAGGCTATGCATATAGCCATCAATAATCCTAATACTTGTAGCGCATTAGGAGTCTTTTGAGATAATTTTACTCCATAAACCAATTGAAAGGAGAATGAATAGCTTAGGATGGTAAGAGGCATTTTCAGTTTTTTTTTTTATCTAATTAAATAACAATTTTAATATTTAATCTGAAAAATATTATTCTTTTAAAAATAAATGATAAGACTTTAAAAAAAAAATTAAAAAAAACAAGATCATTAGGGCCCAACTTCAAGTCACTATAGATTATAGCACCATATAATGTGACCGCACTTACTCCCAGTTAGAACATGTCACATATTAAAATTAAAAAAAAAAAGGTGTAATTATAGGTCATAACAACCCAAAATACAAAAAGTAAAAAAATAATAATAATTATATTATCACATGACGTCATTTAGTAGTTGCTACAACCAATAGCAATAACAACACTGATGAATAGACATATTATAGTTTTTGGCTGTAACAAGTTCAAGATGACTAAACACAACTCCACTAATTTAAAATAAAATTTGTTACCTATCACTTGAGTCACTATGATCGAAAATGATACTTAAATAATTTTAAAACAATCTAATTAATTTAAAAACTACTCTACAATAGTAAAAAAAAATAAAAAAAAAACCCTTGTATCTCAGTACAAGGCTTATTAATGTTCTATTGTGAAAATAGAATCTAACTCTTAGAATAAATGAGTTGATCTAGAAACTTGAGGAACTGAGTGAAAACTGATCGAGAAACATTGGTCTGTCTCTCTATAGGACAACTTATTAGTGTTGGAGTGAGAATAGAACCTTACTCTTAACTAAATTAGTTAATAAAGAAATTAAAAGGACTAAAACAGTTGAAGAAAAGAAAGAGATGAACCTGGGAGTGGAATAGGACCAGGCATAAAATGAGGATTAGTGGTGGTGATGGTTTGCGATGGTATCTCTTTCAACTTGAAGAGTATTTGAATGGCGCCTAAGGTGGTTGGAACTCGCGACCTGTAGCTGTAACCAACCAGCGCTCCACACTTTCTCCTTTCCCAACACCCAAACCCTACTACCACTCCCATTGGCGTCAAAACAAGGATGAGTTTTAATTTTAAAAAATTATAATGTAAATTAAAGGACAAATGTTTAAAATTAATGAATATATGTATAATTCATCTTAGTAATTCAAATTTAATAAATATACTATTTTATTATATAAAAAAATTTAACAAAATTATTTTAATTTGACAATATATAAATTAATAGGATATAAAATCGGAAAAAGGTAAATTTTAATATAAAAAATAACAGTCGTTAATCACGACTCACTATTTTCCACCAAAAAAAGTGGTGTGGCAAGATATTTGAGTCCCTTCTTTGCCACGCTTTAAATATAACATAAATATCTTATCAAACATTTTTTTTTACCGTGAAAAAAGAATTACAAATGTTTTATGACTTTTATCCATTTTATATACACTAATCTAATAACTTGTGCTCCCAAGGGCCGTTAAATTTATATTTTATAAAATAATAAATATTATGTTGTATATAAGATATTATAAAAGAAAAAAGTCTCATATTAGCTAGTATTACATTTTAACAATAATTTATATATCAAGTTATGATATAAATATATAAAGAAACTAACAAGAATGGAGAGGTTTGCACCCATATCATGATATTGCAAAAAAAAGCTAGTATTATGTCTTTAGGTCCGATTTGATTGGAGAATAATATATAAGTTTCCTTTAACACTTAAGGTTTATACGTTCATTTCTCTAAGAATTTTAGGGAGATAATAATAAAAGAAACTTTAAAGTTTTGATTTTTTTTATTTTTTTTTCTTTTAGCTTCTTGAGAGTTATAGAAGTTTTTTTTTATTGCTATTCGGAATGGTGATCTGGAGCTCAGCCGAGGATTCATCACCAGAGTTGTTGCTTCTTGGTAAAGCTCATTTTCTTCCTCAATTCACTTTGATCTCAATCAGTTGACGGATCCAAAAATTTTATATAATGGGGTAATATTTATTTATATATTTGTAGTATTAAAATTTTTTAAAGACATAAATATATATCATAATTATTTTTTACAAGTTTTTATATCTACGATTATAATTAAATATGAAAATAAATTAGGTCAGATTAGATTTTATTACAATTTAGTAGGTTTAAATCTAAGTTTATTTAAAAATATATATTTTAAGTATGACTTAATTATCTATTATAGAAATTTTTTAAATGTTTGGGTTGAACTACAATCCTAAAGGTCTACTTTATAATAATTTAATACTATTAAAAT